GAATGTTGTAATTAATTGAAACATTGATCATCAAATATAAAACTAAAAAAAAAAAAAAAAAAAAAAAACCTATCAAGTTTTCCCTCAACTCCGAGCTCTTCTACAACTTTTGTATATTACAAGTTGCACCCCTTCTTTATGCTAAGCTGCAAGATTCTTTCCAGCATATTATCTAACATTTTAATAGCACACCTAAAATTGCACCAATTCTCCTCGCAATATGATAACATGACCACCTCAAAAAAATTTGGTCGCTAGGTGGTAGTTTGACATAACTTCCCTAAAGGCATTAAATAAAAGATGATCAATAGATATTATAAGTAGTAGGCACATTCACCAAAATAAAATATGCTATAATAGTAAATTACCTGTCTTCTTCTCTCCAAGTAACTGACAAAGAAAATACTCCACAAACATCTTTGTGTTCTTGAGAGTATCTAAAGAGCTGCCCCAAAGTAGGGACAATGTGTGAATTCCTCAAGTTCATCTCTCATAGCTACTTTTTAATAAGATGTTTGTTGAACTTCCATTTTATATTGCAATTAATTTTTATATTAAAATTCTACCAATTTGATGACTTATGATCAATGTAGTGATCAGAATTACATCATTAAATGAATTTCCATTAGTAAATAAATCATCATTAATAAAGATAATGAATAATTGACCCGCCCCTTAAGGTGGAGAATTCGTCAAACTTATAGTTGCTTGAGCCAAGGTTAGCAAGAAGTGTCTAGCTCGTTACTTCCAAGACTTATAAGGATTATCCCCACAAGGTGGATTGTTTGTGTTGGAACAGGCTTATTACATACTTTCTCCATGGATGAATTCTCTATCTTCTAATGTTCACCTTTTGAGAGATGAAATTTATCAACTTCTCAGCTTTGATAAAAATTTCAATCTCTCTTCAAATGATGACATTATTCAGTATCATGGTTATGGTTCCTCTGATATATACAATATTTATGGATCACATAGGCAACCGCTTTCCTTGATCGGTACAATATTTCAATCTATCTATTGAAATATTACTTATTTTGAACGACCTCAATGATTCAACGATTAAGACTCCCTATTTTCCAAGCAACCTACCAAACTTTAAAATAAAGCCCCCCTTCAAAAGGATGAGCTCTATTCTTCTTATAACTTCTCTTGACTCTCCACTCAACAAAACATCCTCTATTCTCTTGACGGAATTTATAAATATTCATTCTCTATTAATGATACTGTTATCTATTTTTCACTCAAAAAATGCTTAACAGATAATTATACTCTTCTATCAAAATATGATTGTAGCTCAGTTCCAATAATTTGACTAACATATTTAAACATTGCAACCCAATAGTATAGCAAAATTATCCTTTGGTAGGCCTTGAGCAGATATAGCAAGAGTGAAAGTTAGCTCCGGATCCCTCACTTCCAACATTCTCTCTAAAAGCAAGTTACAAAACTCCTAAAGATTCCCTTGAGTTCTAACAAATCCGCAACAAAAATGGCAAAATCTTTTGAGATTTTTAAACATTTCCAAATTGCGTAATAATGACGCACTCAAACTCAACAAAAGAAATTAATAATCCCTGAGGGTAAACTGTTAAAAAGAGCGAATAGTTGATTAATGACGTACTTCCAACACTATTTTTTTTTCAACAAACAAACTACTAACCCAAAAAGAAGCCATGTGATCAACAATATCATACATTCCTTTATAAAACTCCAGATATAAAATATAAAATTTATTTGATACCTCGTCCTCCACAATTTCCTTGGTGAACGGGCTTTACAATGGTTACTATTTCCTTGGTGAACGGGCTTTACAATGGTTACTTTCTCTATTTTTTTTCTTTTCTTTTGTCACATCTATGATAAGAAGAAGAGTCTTTAATATCTAGAATATAGGTTTCATGTTCAGACAATGAAGATATTGGAGCAGTTCTTGACCTCATCGATAATACTATTTAGTCAGCTGCTCTTTAACACATTCATCTGTTATACCATAAATTCAGGTGCACTCCATATTAATAAAAATTTCCAAGGTGTTGATTCCTTCTTCATGCATAACGCTCTTCTAGTTTGTGGCATGATCCACCCTGACCACAGTTTGAAGGATGTTGAACCCTAAATTATTTATGATCTTACACTGCCTATGAAAGAACTTGAAAAGAAAAAGATAAAGAACACAAAGAAAATAGAAGTGAGTGCAATTCTTAAAAAGGCCCGTCCTTTACTTTTTGCATTGCATCTCCTACTTATAAGTTTAGATTAGTCTCAAAAGCTTTTAAGTAGATGGTTGCACCAAATAAAGAAAAATAAACTAGGATAACAACAATGGTATAAAAAATGTATAGTTTGATAGGCTATAAAATGTTATTCAACTTTTAGAAAAGTTGATGAACAAATCTCAAATTACCAAGTTAACCCACCTGACTAATGCACCAAATTGCTTTGGTGAATTAATCGGCTGGGTTGATTTTTCAAGTTGATCGAAGACATTCGACGCCTTGTACATCATTTGAATATGCTTAAATTGTTCTAACAGAGCTCTAACCTTAATCATGTGCCAAGTATTGGACAATTTCTTGAACTCGGTGGATCAGATTTTGGTTATATATAGCACCTACATATAGACCTACATATAGAGTATCAAAAAACTTTCATTCTCCAACCTTCATCCATCAAACTAAAAAAATCACTGTAAAATCTAGCCAAAATTTTTTTAACTTCCATTAAATTCTAATTGCGCTCACATGTAAAAATACAATAATGCATTTTTATCATATGTACAATCCTATCCAGGGGCACACCGAAGGAATAGAATGTTTGAAATTTGACCCCCACCCACCCCCCCAAAAAAACGTACCATTAAGCGTTTAGTTACGACAATGGTACCCTAGTATGTTCGTAGACTTCACATGCGAGGTCCGCCAACAGATCCATCCGATATCTTTTTTGGATTGGGTAGATGTAGGGCTGATTGATTGCAAGGTCGAGTAGTTGTTTGCTAAGAATCCAATTTGCCAAGAGCATGCGCCAATCATCCCGGAGTCGGCAGACTCGTTCTCTTTTTCCAATCTGAAGTAAGTTGGGAGGCAACATATCTGCTTGCACAGGTCTGACTCACCAGGTTCTTCAGGGTTGATTCTTTTCTGTCCGAGAGGGGTGACTTGCCTTTTGTGATAAGGGGATCCGGCTGGTTAAACATACAATCTTGGGTCGTTCATGATATGCCATGTGAGCCCACTCCTCTTTCTTCATTATTCACGAGATGGTGTCATGATTTGTCTATTCCTTTTAAATGTACAACATATTTGCTACAATTATAAGTATACTCGGAGCTTCTGAAATTCTTTACAATATCTTGGTTGCAAGCTCTCCCAGCATTTGTCATAGCAAGGACTGTATATATAATGCTGCCGAATAGACCGATTATCTTCAACCCCTTTTTTTTCCTTCCAGGGGCATTTAAAAATAAACATGATAGTATGAATTCTGTATTCTAACTAGCAAGTTGGTTTTACTTTTAAAAATATAGCTCCCACATTGTTAGGGTATAGAAACTTGTCCAGATAGTATTCTGCTATCAAAAACGTTGCTTCCTTTTTCCTTGGTGTGCAAAGAACTAGATGAAATTGTAGGTGGATAAATTTATGATTCTAACTCAATTTTGCCATCTATCTTTAAGATCTTGAGCATACTAAATAAGGTTTCGTTTGCGAATAGTCATCCTACGTCTATTTACATTTCGTTTGATAAAATAGCTTATCTCAAACATTTTTCCCCAATTATTTCAACGAAACTATAAATTTTCATCATTTTAGAACGAAACGACAAGAACCGTTCCAACCCCCAACTTTTGAAGGACCTTCTCCCTCAAACGAAGCCTGAGACAGTTGATGAAAATTGTCGCGGCTAAGCGACGGCCTCCAAGAGTGCTGCATGGGTAGCATATAAAATAATAACGTGGAACCCACGTTTTACCTTGTTAAATTCGATCATCATCACATTCTTAACTCCAACCACATCAAATGGTTACGAGATACCACTAGTGGCGAAAAGTTTTGTACCCAGATATGCTCTCCCTGCTACATCTTGGAAGTGACAAGGAATGGGTGGAAGGGAAATAAAATTAGCGAATTTACAACTCAAACCAAACCCTGTAACCCAGTGAATATACAGCAAACTGCAAAACTTAAGAATTGGCTTTATTAGGCTCCATATGAGAAAGCTTTCGACTTCCGATGGATCTCACTCAATATTGCCACCTGGAAAATTTATGTTTGACTCAGAGCATTTTCGAAACGTCTCCAAACGCTGTATTGGAAGTAGGTGGAAATTTCACTGTTTCAGAATGAAGATGAATCATGTTCCTCCACGGGACTATTGAAGGAAAGGAACCAGATGCTTAGTTTGAATTTTCTAGACTCGATGGTACCGTTAAGAGAAATTATTTCATACGTAGCACGTACATATATTACTAGAGTCCGCACATAGAGATATATAGGTACTACTTATGAAATAATTTCTCGTTAAAAAGACTCCATGCGTGTGTGGGAAGTAAATAGCTGAAAGCGGGCCATTGAAAAACACCGTGATATGGCGAGTACCAGTTATCAGCAAATACTAATTTAATATATAAATATAAGCCATAAGCGACGGCAGCATACGTCCAAAATACATGGATTATTTATTCTAGGGCCAATTTCTGGCCATGAAAAGCACACGACAAGGATCATCATTCCGAAAGCATATCCTGGGCGAAAACATAAACAAGGAACAAATTAAAACAAATCATTTAAAACTATGATGGATTTATAGAGATAGTCGAGGGGGGCATTAGAATGCATATCACGAAACAGATAAAATGGAAAAAAATCCAGTTAGCTCATCAAAGATAACAAATCGACAACCCTGCAGCAAAAAATTCCTGTGCCTACATGCTATTTCCACAAGGTTCAACACATAATAACATAGAGAAAATTCCAGGTGTCGGGTTGGTCATGGAATTTGAAAAAAGACGAGCATAAATAACCTTTAACTGGTGCATTTTACAATGGATCATTTCGGAAGACAGCTTCATGACTCACTTCTAAAACAAACTATAATAATGTACAGAGCCTTACATGGATAAACCTTGTTATTTGTATATACAGTAGTTCTGACAATATCTCCTAGAGCAAGCCTCCTTTTCAAACAAGCTTGTGTCCTGTTGAAATCACCAAATATTTCAATGGCTTTAATATTTCAGGCAAAAAAAGCTCTTCTAATGATAAACAAACCTACCTTTTGAGGTTGATCCACCTCTACTAGGCTTTCTCTCATGAGAAACATTTATAATCTTTGAAATTACTAGAGAGCTTTGAAGGCCCTCGAGAAGCTGAAAAATGAAACTCAAATAAATTAAAAAATGCAATAGTACTATCAGTTTGAAAGTTCCAAGTTACAAAAATGGCCAACACAAAGGAAACTTCAAATATTAAGAACAAATCAATATGCCAATACGCCACTGGAAGCCAAAAATTGAGCTTTTACTACAATGGACAAAACAAAGAAAGCTGGGTATATGATTCCAAAAACAAATTTTATCCGAAAGAAAATTTTTCCTTATAAATTATTTTCACCACAAGAAAATATATCTTGCTGCATTTTATTTATATAAGCTTAGAAGTCTAAAGCATATAGTCACTAAGCAAGGAAATTTTTATCATAAAATAAGAAAAAAATTTGTGCCATAAAATTTGTACATCTAATTTTTCAGTTTAATGAGCTTGAATCGATCTTGCATATAAACAAAGCATACAATCTAAGTATCAATTAAAGAATGCTTAAAGATGGGGGTTGCACACATTTCAAATGATGAACACAAGTAAAATGATTCTAGGCCCACACAAGATGTTAGGGAAAAGCTACTTCAAGCTTTGTGGATTGCGTTCTATGTCAAAAATAATTTACTCAATGCATCAGCCACTTTTACGGTACTTCAAAAAAGAGAAACATGGTTAGAAACAACACTAATTCTCCTAAGTGTTCAAATGTGAAAAGCTTAAGCATAAGAATTGCAGTAATAACACACAAATGAGTCCGGCTGAGGTGACCATGCAAGATAGAGTATAATACTTCACTACCACATAACAACTAAGAAGTCCTATAGATGAAAATAATTTTAAAATAAAATAATAAATTAAAAAAAAAAGGCAAGCTCAAGTGCACAAGGTTGGAGATTTGAAAACGAACACTCAAAATTAGTCGTGGATTGAAAAAAGCAAACTAACAGGCTATATACCATTTTCATTGTATTAATTTTATCTTCTAACTTCCAGCATAAGATGATGAATACCTATAGTAAGGAGAGATATTCTTTGGAAATCTAATCCATGGTTCGGTGTGATTGATTTTGTTGGAGAACTTTTTAAATCTTTCTGATCCAGTGGTTCAAATGTTTCTATATTTGCATGGATAGCTTGTTTTTAATGGTTTCAATTTCGCTACAGGGAGTAGAATGAACGCTTTTACACTAAAGAAATAAAATTTTAACCGTGATTCTATTTAACGCGATTTGGAATAATGCTTTGTGTACTCGTCATGACAATATCCAGCACCATTTTTCATTGCTTCTCTTCGTCTACTGGAGCAATTGCGAAAATTTGAACTTACAGAAATATATGGACTACTCTAAAAAAGTACTTTTAAATTTATAAATGGAAGAATTGAGGCAATCAAATTTTTTCTTTCATCTTATAGTGCCTGGTAAAAAGTGAATTCCTTGAGTACCGTACAAGAAAAATAACATACATCATTTTCTCTAGATTATACCATATATTAATGCTTTCTTTCAATTATTGATTTTTGCAGGCATTCTTGAAAAGACATCTGAGATGATATAGGCCTACTATATTTTTTTCCACAAAGACCACCTCTCTCGTTAAGCCGTGTAGCCTAGATTATAATCCACAAAGAAAATGCACCACCCAAGCTTAACCATGGGTGACTTCCTGGTAAGGTTACCTTAGGGATGGGAAGAGGGGCAAGGAGTTCTCTGGGAGATTTTGGGCAAAGCCCACAAAAAGTACCAAAATTTGGTTATTTTATTGAGGGTGTATTGATTTTTTTATTATTATTATTTTTTTTTTGGTATTTTCCTGGTAAGGTTACCAATGGTTCAACTGTTTCTACTTTTCACCTAAACATTATCATGAACATTTTAAATTTCCCTAATCCAGTGGGTTAATATAATTTAGCGGTGAAATACCTTCAACATATCATGAATCAATTGGTCTCATTGGATACTAAATTTTATTAAGAGGTATGTGCTTTAGTTATGTTGGACTCATTATCAAATAGTTAGGAACCAAGGAGATTTGTTGTAAGCAATTCTATAAGAACTTTGAGAGAGAATTTAAATGATTTCAAGATATGTAAGAGGTTCGAAAAAGAGATATTGAAAAAATATTTACATTAAATAAGGGCTGAAGTCTTTAGGAGTATTCGAACAAATGGCAATGGTAATAGAAGAATCTCAAACAATGACAAAGCAAGTCTAGGAATGGATGAAACATAGAGTGCTTGATGTAGGGCTTTGCGGTGACCACGCAGGAGTGGAGTTCTCCTGTAGCAGGAATACGGAATCAAGAACTCCAGAAAGTGAACCGACCAACCCAATTGAGGCCGGTTTGGGGTGCAGCCAGGCCTAGCGGCCTGAGGCGGGAGTTTTGATGGGGCGAGCAGCCTTTGGCACCCCTCTCCTACCTTTTTTACTTCTTCATATGAAAGTATCCTAATGGTTATTTCTTGCCCCCCTACCACTTTCGTGTGTGTGGAAGCTCAGCCTTTGGCACCCCTCTCCTACCTTTTTTACTTCCTCATATGAAAGTATCCTAATGGTTATTTCTTGCCCCCGTACCCCTTTCGTGTGTGTGGAAGCTTCCTTCTTTAGTTCATTCCTTTTCTTCATCAATAGGAGTCTATTAATATGCTTGTTTCGGGAGTTTAGGGTTAGTCATGGCTGTGTTTAATTTCATATTTCCTATGCGGAGTCTTCTTCCCCCCCAAGGATTGTATTTGATTGTTAGGGTGGTGCTCTGGTTGTATCCCTCTCTCTGGTGGTGATTGTATATTTCTTGTTACAGTTTTCAATTGTATATCTTGCTTTTCAATACCTTCCAGCCACCCCAAACGGCCCACATCTTTCCACCTCTTTGCTACATCATTGCCGACCCACCCATCCTTGCTGCCACCACCCCGGGACAGCTAACCTTTGCTGCTCCCGCTACATCATTGCCGACCCACCCATCCTTGCTGCCACCGCCCCGGGACAGCTAACCTTTGCTGCTCCCGCTGTTTCTCTCCCAATTTCTTGTTGCATCCACACAGGACAACCAGCCCTCTAGCTTTTCCTGCTTTTTTCTCACCTCGCCTTCACCGCGCCACCCCTGCTAGTCCTTCCGATCCACCTAGCAACCTCCACTTCCCTTGAGATGCATTCGAGGTGTTTGTTGTGTCGTTTTATGTGTTGGTGATGCTATTTTCATTTTGTGTGTTGTAACCCTATTTTAATATTAATGAAAGTTTTCTTTTGTGTTTCCACTGTTTTTCCCGCTAGTTTCAGTATCATTTGGTATCAGAACTAACACAACTATAGTTCTATCCTAGGGTTCTCTAATGTCCGTCATAACTCATAAAATTTCCTTCCTACCACCCACTACCATTTCCACTGCCACATGCTCCTCAGCCTAATTCCCCCCACTGATTTGTAATACCAGCAACCTTTACACAATTATTTTTACCCTCTTTCAACTCCACTAAAATTTTTTCCTTCCTATTTCTAAACCCTAGCGATACCACCATTGAGATACATGCCCGAGCCTTCCCGAAAAGAGATATGCCGAGTGATCCGCCAAATTTGACCGTGGATTACAGACATGAAAGATGAAATCCAAAGGAAAGCTCCCCTCAACTGTGATCCGAAAGGTCAAAGGGGAGAACAAGAAAATATGAAGACAAAGCGGAAAACACATGACCAGTTTCTACCAACTTACTACCTCAAAAAAGTTGCACTCTAGCGTCCGAAGTAGAGAGACCGCAGCACCAAGCGACCCCTCTGGCTACTATCCGACGAAACCAATCTGCAAGTCTGTCACAGCCAGAAAATATGGCAAGAGCCACATATTTGTATATGTTGAAGCAGAGTGCACAACCAGATGAGTGATCTATTTCACTGAGCAGGGTGTTATCGAAATTTGGGAAAAAGACACTGCAAACACTGACGAACAGTTCAAAAGAGAACTTTCATCCAATGAAATCTTCCCTCGTAGACCTTCCTTGCTCGTGGATACATCCAATGTCTTTCCTACATGTGATTAAAAGGAATATAGAATTTTTTATGAAATTTTGGTTTCTACTCACCTAGAAGAAGGAGAACTTTTTGTTGAGACAAATTAAGATCTCACAGACTTGAAGATGCAGAATTTAAAATTTCAGTGGATGATTTTAGTAATGATCGAGTGATAATATCACATAAGATTACAACCCCCAGTGTTTTATATTAAGAGACGAAAAACCAATGTAAAACTTTGCTATTGAAACACAGTAGAAGATGTCAGTTCTCCAAAACTTCAAGAGTCCCATCAACCAAACTCTTGCAAACCCTCAACCTAGCTGAAGCTCAACTTGTCATATAGATAGGAAGCATATGAAATATTTACTTGTTCAATTTAAATCAAGAGAACCTACATAGTGGTGTACCTTTGGCTCAGATTATACCAAACCTAGAAAAGAACGATAGAGAGATATGCTTGCAATTGAAAAAAGCTCCTAAAATGCTTTGGTAGCAAGCAAAGTCGCCAGTAGGATCCAGCAACGACCGACGAGAATCCAAAGCTTCGACGAATGAGGTCGAAGCTCTCCCAACCAAGGGAGACTGATGCGGGGCTTTGCGATGACCACGCGAGAGCGAGGTTCTCACAATGTTTAAAAATGCAAAGAACATTTGATTTGATAATCAAAGATTCAGAGAATGGTTTAAGCACCACAATAGTTAAGCAAGCAGATATCTTTTCTTATGCATTTGTGGTTGGTTTTCTAACAAGTTATAAGCAAAACTTCAAATTTTTTTTTAAAAAAAAGCCATAAAAGTGCATAAAAAAACAAACGATAGCATGCAATGAATAAGGAATTAATCTATCTTGAAAAGAATAATATTGACGAGAAAGTAGAAATGATAGGAAATAAAAAGATTGTTGGATCCAAATAATTGACGAGGATGGGAGAAAATTTTACATACGGAGTCCGGACGCAGCTCTGCGTCCGAACATCAAAAAATTAAGCCAAGTGTGCAAAATTTTAAAAAATGCTTGTATTTCGACTCGTAATTTTATAATT